TCCCTGTTGAAGCAGTGTATGTTAATGAAAATGCACCTGTACTTATGACTTTTACAATAATAACTGCGAAACTGGTTGTCTTACCATGTATGATAATTATTGATGTGATACTGAAGGGAATGCGTGAAAAAACCGGTAGCTTCTCATCTCATTCTATTTGTTCACCTTTTTATCGCCGTTTTATGTAACCGACATTCCGAAATTTTGGTGAAATTAAGATGTTTGTAAGTTAAATGCATCAGTGTTTTCATATCAATAGTAAAATAGTTGATAGGCATAAGATATGCACCAAAACCATTGCTATGCTGAATTATATTTCAACACTTGCTGCGTGTATTTTAATTTGTTTTTTTCATTCATTGGGCGCAGACTTGTCTGTACTGATGCCCCTCAGGCTGGAGGAGAAAAAGTTCCTTTATGTTCTAGAACATGAGTTTGAACTTGCTGGCTGCAAAACTGACGTAACTGAATAAGATAGTTTCATGATGCAAAAAAAGCAATTTCTTACAGCCTTGCTATGGGTTTGAAACTTTGAACATATTGAACCCGCATCTGATAAAATCCGCTCACCACTTGTCCACCAGTTTTCCAAAAAATCCAGTCTATATAAAGATAAATGTTTTCCAGCCCTACCTGCAAGACCCAGTGGCCTTGGGATGACAGCGACCTAACTTAGTAAGTCCTCGAGCTCGGATTTCCTGCCACAGGGCTGCTGACCTTGGCTCCATGCCCATCTATATCTCTCTGTCTGGGCTCCTCCGCCCCCAGAGCTCCCACTCCCAGCTCCCCGCCCTCGAGCTCCGTACCTTGCAGCTTTCCGCCCCGGAGCTCCGGCTTTCCTGCCCCTGGAGTTTCGGAGTTCGGCTCCCTGCCCTCGAGCTCCGTACCTCAGCTCCTCTGCCCTCGAGCTCCGGACCTTAGCTCCCCGTGCCCCCGGAGCCCCGGACCATAGGCTCAGCTCCCCTGTCCCCGGAGCGAGCTCGTCAGCGGCGGCCTGACCAGCCAGATAAGCACGCGCCGGTGGTTACCCGGATGCCAGTCCCCTCTACATGATGGGTTCTCCAGAACCATCACCGCCATGCCCGCGCATCTTGCGCTACATTGGCGCCGTTTCTCGCCAGCACGTCTTGCACTTCATTTGCGCGGGAGTCGGTGATGGATCTTACAAGTCGATCCACGATAGAAAATGGCTGCACTTCAGCCATTGCTCGCAGTTTGGTCGAAGTGGTTGTCAATGGAAACTGGTATAAGAAAAAAGTGGACTTATTTATGGGCAACTTCTCATAGGTGGAGAAATACGCAAAATTCGCCCCACTACTTTGTGCAGTGAACGACCTGACAATACACCATGCCTGTGATGTTGTTGCTCACTATTCACTGAAAGAAAAAATGACACCAAATGGGGGGTAGGGTGACTCTGCCAAAAAGTCCGCCCCACGGGGGTGTCAAATAAACTCTCTTTTGGGGCATCATAACACCGTAATATGGTATCCGTGAACGCCGTTTATTGGCGTACTTGGACTCTTGATTTCGGAGTTTGGATGCCCCAAAAGAGAGTTTTTTGACACCCTTGTGGGGCGGACTTTTTGGCATGTCACCATAAATAGAGTCACGACTCCCCTTAGGACTCTTTCTTTTGGGGTAATGATGCCCCAAAAGAGGGTATTTTGACACTCCTATGGGGCGGACTTTTTGGCATATCACCTTAAATGGAGTCATAGCTCTCTTGAATTACCCCCTACAGAGGTGCAAATGACACTTTTCTGGAGTGTTATCTTCCTAAAGGTGTCAAATATCCCAACGCGCGACGCGCTTCAGCAGAATCGTCTTATTTGGTGTTTCACCATTCTTTAGCGAAACAGCAAACCACGGTACCGCCATTCACTGTTGTCACCGTGACATGTTAGATGTCTTCCATTTCCATCATATCCTGAGAAATTCCAAGGTATTGTTCTCGGAAGATCTCTAGATATGACTTCAATGTCCACATCCGGTCTACAAACTTTGATTTGACTCCAAGATTGGAGTCTAATCAGTAACCACGCACATGCAAGTATTAAGCTTTATTATATGCAACATGAATCTTTTCACCGAGTTTTAGCCGTCAAAGCATTACCACACAATCATCTTACATCATACAGAAGTTGTGATGGGCCAGTCCTAAATCTCAAACTGCCAAACTGATGAAAATGATGAAAGAAAGACAAGGAACGTCAAACCTACAGACAAAACGCGGAAAGTTCGACGCAAAAAAAGACTGTCACAATCAGCGACATCTATGAGAAAAAGTAAAACTTTCAGTAACAGCACGATAGCAGCGCCACCTATATAACATCCGTTTAAAGGAGTCGTAGAGGAGTCTGAAACCTTAAATAGGGAGTATACTTTTTCTGTTAGAGTTTAACGTTCCCGTAATGAAACGTCACACTTTTGTTAGAGAGACATATCTTCAGCGAGGTATTTAGTCGTAGTTCTTTAAAAGAAAGCCGTACATCAATCGAAATTTTCAAAAGGGAGTGGTAGATCATGAGGGATCATTCAACAGGGAGTCGTACACCTTCAAAAGCGAGTCATACCTATATGTAAACTATATATATATGGTGTCGTACATATCTTAAAAGAAAATCGTACCTAACTCAAAAGGGATTCGCACATTTCCAAAAAGGAGTTGTACCTCTCGAAAAGGGAGTTGCACATTTTTAGGGCGAGTCGCACATGTTAAAAAGGGAGTCACTCATTTTCAAACGAGAGTCACACAGTTTCAAAAGGGAATCACTTATTCTCCAAAGGTAGTCACCTACGTTCAAAAGAGAGTCATCCTTCTTTGATGAGGAGTCATATATTTTGGCAAGAGAGTAAAGCACCTTTTATGGGAGTCAAATGTGTAAAAGGAGTCTCGACTCCATGTTAAGTGAGTGCAATAACGTAGAGTCAAGACACCTCATTTTAACTTGACTCTCATAAAGGGGTGTCTTACTCCCTTGCTCAGATGCACGACTCCCTTTTAAAGATAGCCAACTCCCCAACAAAGGCGTCAACTATTGCCGTTTTGGTGTCGGACACCCTCGCAGAGCTCACTGATCCGATTTAAGGGTGTCATGACCCTCTCAGGAGGACACCATTTTTTGGGTTCGTCGGAAACCGACGCCAAACGATGGGGTCAATGACCATACATTTTGGAGTCGGACACCAAAATCTAAGCACTCAGACTCTAAAACATGGAGTCGTCGTAGAGGTGGGGTGTCAAAATTTTTATCAGTGTTGCATAGTGCATATACATATAGTGCAGAGGGACTTTTGGCTGAAAAGCACCGAGCACTTGACGTTCGTTTTTTAATGGCAACATATATTCTTATTTTTCATTAGGGGTCCTCGATTTCTGAGGCTGCACGGCCTAATTAGTGGCGATTCTCTGATATTATGTCGTCACTCGTCAGTGCGGCTCGGCTCCGGTGAAAGCCCGGCTGTGGCTCATCTGAGATGTACCGTGCATCGGTAGAGTTTCGCCGTGCGGATTAAATATCACCGCCGCACCATTCATCAGCCGTGTGTCCGGTCGGCTCTGGCCGTGCTCTATTGCGTGTCCGTCTCCCCGGCCCCCCCCCCCCCCCCGCGGCGCGTCCCATCACTGTGACCGGTCACATCGTCACGGGCCGGCGCGATCGATACATCCGGGCCGCCGGGGGCTGGGGGTGGGGGTGGGGCGGACCCCCACCTGTGGACCCCACCGACCCCTCCGTTGACCAGCCCCCCCCCTGCCGTGCCGCCCGGCCCCGCCTCCCACCCCGCCCACCTGTTGGTGGGCCCTGGCCCGCCGGCGGCGCTGAACACACGGCCCTCCCGGCCGGTTCACGCCGGAGCTGCGGCGGCTCTCGGCTGCGCCAGCTCGCGGCCCGTCGACGGGGAGCATCGATCGTCGGCGCCGGCGGCAGACGACACGTGGTCGACGGGCCGGGCCGGGCCGGGAGGATGTGGCCGTCGCAGCTGTTCAGACACCCCGCCGGCTGGTCGGGCCAGAAATAGGAGAATCTGGGTGGTCGGCCGGCCGGAGGTAACACGCGAGATGGAGTTTTGGGCTGAGGGAGGTCATTTCCGACCGAGTTAAAACGGATGGCTAAAAACGTGCTCTCCTGTGTCGATTTCTTCCCTCTTCCGCCTCTGGCGTCTCTCTCTCTCTCTCTCTCTCTCTCTCTCTCTCTCTCTCTCTCTCTCTCTCTCTCTCTCTCTCTCTCTCTCTCTCTCTCTCTCTCTCTCTCTCTCTCTCTCTCTCTCTCTCTCTCTCTCTCTCTCTCTCTCTCTCTCTCTCTCTCTCTCTCTCTCTCTTCTCCCCTCCTCTCTCATCAGCTCTTGTTCAGCCGATTGCTAAAATCGGCACCTCCAAGAGTGAGGGCTCATTGTGATGTCACTCACGAGAATTTTTGAATAAAGAAAAAGAGGCTGGGTCGGGCTGAGTCGTTAGCCTTGCGTTAGCCCAGTTTCTGGCTGAACAGATCGCAAAGATAGGTCTCTTGCCTAACTTATAATCAGAAGGATTAATGTTATATTAAATCCGATTTCATTTGCATACCCGCTCCCGCTAGCGTAGGTATTGCTAATTGCCGCCGCCGCCGCCGTCGCCAAAAACATCTCCTTTTGAATCCCATTTCAGAAAGTCATCATATGCCTGCCTCCTCTGCAACCAGTTACCAGTTTGGTCCTTATCCATCCCCACGCGTGCTCCAGCTGTCCGCTCTATCGGTTGGATGGTCCTGCCAGGCGCACCCGGCACCTCGCAGGCTGTTCTGTGAGGTGGAACTGAAATTAGGTGGGACTCAAAGACCGGAGCGAGTGCTGCTGCAACGACCACCAACAGGGTACCCATTCGTAATGTCCGGTGTCTGAAGTGAGTGAGAGGAGCGCCCGGTAGTCGTGCGTCGGACTGGATGGACACAGGGCTGGGATGGCCGGTGCGGGTCTACGTGGGGAGTTTATCGTACTAACGTTATCTCTCTGTTACTCAGGTGACTGGGTGTGACCCGTGACCGGAGGAGGAGGCACGGCGGCCGCGATGGACTCCAAACTTCGGAGGTGAGTGGGCCCTCGACACCTTATCTCGCCCGTCGAGTGGCGCTCTTGAACTTGCGTCCCAGCACTTCCCATGTTGTTATGCGCACGCTTGGTTTGAAGTGGTGCTTTGCGGAAGGCGGCGTTCGAAAATTATCGAAGCCATTGTAGATTACTACCGACATTTTTTACACTGGGTGCTATGGAGTATGGAGTGTGGATGGGCTGAAGTGAAATTGCGAGAGTCTGTGCCTAAATATTTGTGCTTACCTTAATAGTTTATAATTGTCTCAGTTGTATGTCGACGGAATTGATTCATTCCTTTCTCTCCCCAAGTTCTATTGTCCTCACGATGCCGCCTGCAATGAATAAAAGCACCGCACAGCAGGGCGGTTATTTGGTCCGCCGATGAGCCCGCTGATGACCCGAGCGCGGTCGTCTGCGACCGCTACAGCCCCGTCAGCAGGTCCCCTCCCAGTGCACCGTTCAAGGTCCTGTAAACAGTAGCGTGCCACGGCTAGAACAGAGTACACATGTCCGGCCCCTCAGTCACGCCCCGTTCAGGCCTGTTCAGACACTCCCACCTTTTTTCGGACCCTTCCACCTGACGGTCTACCCGTCGGTCTGGCTGTTTACATATCCGCGCCATCCTGTTTTCACGACTTCAATGCACCCAGCTCTGGCAGCCTGTCTGCACCTGATCATTTGTATGTCGACGGCAGATGGCTCGCGCCCGCGGCGTGTTTCGTCTCACCCTGGGCCCTCCTGGCCGTGTTTGTGGATGGGTGGAAGGGTGCCAACACTGACGGATCCTGGGCTTTGCCCGTCCCTCAGCGTTCGAAATTTATGTATTGAATATTTTGCTCGTTCATAATGAAGAGCAAAGAACTTTTATCTATGTAAGGGCGCCAGACTGACTGACTGCTGTGAGCGTCGAAATGTAGCAGTGACGTCGGACGGTTCACGTGTACCCATGAGCGAGTTCGAAGGCGCTCTCTTTCAAAGGAACGAAGTTTTGAGCCATTGTATGTCTGTTGGTTGAATCAACTGATCCAACTAATGTTTGCGGCTGCACGCCAGAGAACATCTTCACACATATGGTTTCTCGTTACCAAAACAGCAGCCTTGTCTTGTCTTCACCAGCTGAAACACTACCAACTGTACTTTTCCGCAGCTGCCCTGCCTGACAGCTGTATCAGCCGACTGGCCGCAGCCGCGCCCACAGTCGCGCCCACAGCCGGCCCGCAGCTGTGGCACAAACATTGCCGCGCGGACTTTGGTCGGTCAATGAGACTGGGCCGCCAATGGAATATCTAGCTGCCCTATCAACTGACACACGAGACTATGAAGGTTAATTAAATTGTTTTAGGTTGATTTACTATTCCCGGAAATATGTCATTCTCCCTCAATTTTTCATCCATTTTCACGTTTTAAAAAGGTGCTTCTGTGTGAATTTCAGCGATGTGAGCTATTCGGTACATAGTCAGTTTCATACCTGTTTTGTTACATATTTCATGGAGTCTTCCGCCCATCGTCTGATGGCACATATCTGCACACCTCCACTCCAAAGCCCGACATATATAAGCCGCTACTCATGTCTGTTTCGTGGTCGATATCTCCACCCACCCCCTGATTCGCGAACCCCATCTCCTATTTCGCGTGTTCAGCCCACCGCCGATGAATGCCGCCACGGGGCCGGTTTGGCGCTACTGGTCTGGCCGTCTGGGTCGGACTGGTGGAAGGACTGGATCCGGTCGACCTGCCACATTTCCAGAGGTCGACTTGGCACTACTTGCAGTTCCGGATTCCATTGTAAAGACGGCTCACTATGAGAATTCTGTACTTCCATCGCTCTATGTATCAAAGCGATGCCCCAGGGCACTGTATGATGTTATAGCATGCTTGGAATGATGTACCCTCGGTACCTTGAGCTTATCCTCGGATTAAAGTCGATTTCCGTGTCCCTGTTATGATGTATCCTCGGTGAGCTATAAAGTCCCATTTCCGTGTCGGCCGCGGTGAATAACCGGAATCGTGTAATGATTCATGGCTCTACGCCGCTGTAATAGGCGGGGCCCTGATACGGTGCCGACACCCCTCGGGGATCAGCCGGGTCTGATAGGCGCCGTATGGGCCGCCGTATTGATTGTGACGGTCATATCCCCGTCTCTAAGGGGCAGCACCGGCAGAAGTCAATAGGGCCCGCGGCTGCGATATTAACGCGGCCCGCGGCAGCAATTTTGGCCGTGGTAGACCGTCCTAATGAAGTCATGACACAGCATGCAGTATACATAGTTGCATTTCGTTATCTTGGTGATTTTTGCATTGCAGGAAAATTATCATGAAGCCTTACTAATCGATATTTTTTTGTTTCCTCAACGTTCATGCTTACGTAAAGTAATAACCGGTGTTATATGTCAAGCTGCTTTGAGGGATTCCAGCAGTGTCTGCGAATCCCGCGTTATTTGGTATCATTGCATTGGTTACAATGTCTTATGAAAGTTCTTAAGTGGACATAAGAAATGACCCCGAATTCCTGCAGTTTGTATTGTAGCCATGTAGCGACGATCTACCTCTTGAGATACGTATCATGAGAGCGATGGTTTGCATCCTAGCTTACCTGATCTAGCATATCATTTATATTCAGCCAGCATAGTTATGTGCTGATGGGTCATGCCACTTAGTTGTGCCCCGGCGGTGACGGGTCCGTCTCTCATATCCAGGGTGTCACTCTCCGATACCCCAAGGGTCGCCTCCGGTGTCTGATGGTCCATCTCCGGTGTCCTGTGGCCGCCCGATCTGGTGTCAGATAGGGCCATCAGTGTGGCTCGTGCGGCGCCCGTTTCCGGCTGACTGGTGTCACTGGTGGCCATTTGGACTGACCCCGGGATAAGGTCACAGTAGGGTGGGGCCGTGCCGCGACCGGCGCCCGGCGGACCCGTCACTCGTCTGTGGCAGAGGTCGTGTGGGCGGGGCCCGCCGCCTGCCACCCTCAGCAGACAGCTGGTCTGTCTTTCCGGGGACGGGATCGGCATGGGTATTGGGCATGGGACACAAATCCTCGACCGATATTTATTCGCTGATATTAAATTGTGGCAGGCCGCGGAGATTTAGCGTTCGGCGGGCGAGGTTATTTGGCCTGCGCCTTTCTCCGTCAGCTGCGGAAGTTCAGCTGGACCTTTGGAAGTTTTCCATGTAGGGATGTCGTGGGAGTGGTGCTGGTCGAGATTTATGAACGGAGGATGCCAGAAAGGCTGTCGAAGAAAATCGAGGTAACTGAAAAATGCTGCTGAACGTTCTGTTGATAGAGCAACTCCGGAAAAATGTCGAATACTTTAAGCGTACTGTATAGGATGCTCATACACGGAAAAAAATATTTACTCCCCTACGTGGGGTTCTGACGTCCCAAATACAGTACCTATATTAGAGTAGATATCCGCCCTATTTTGGAGTTCTATCCATAACTCCCTAAAACTGTCAAAAGGCGATTCATTACTCTCTTGGTGTTTTGAAACTCCCTTGTAAAACGCAATTGAAACTCCCTTTTAGGGAGTAAAAAATAATAGGGAGTAGTGGAACCTAAGAGGAGTAATAAAACTCCTTATTAACTACTCCTTATTCCGGAGTTATGATCGTAAAAGGGAGTTTCACTACTCCTGTTCTGCAAGTGAAACTCCTTTAAATTTGTCTGTGGAGTAATGTCACACCGAAAACGAGACAAGCTAAGTGGTTCCAAAACTCCCAAAAAGGTACTCATCCCAAATACAGTACTTATATTAGAGTAGATAAAGTTAACATTCTGGAGTTTTCCAAAAAAGGTGTGATGTCACCCCAAATATACGGGTTGAGTCACTCCTAATTTTGGGCAGGACGCACATTGCACAAGCCCCAACTGACATAATCAGAGCATTTCCAGCTGGAATTTTAACAAGTATGGATCATTTATAACGTTATATCATTGCAAAAAAAAAGTTACTATGATGCTATGACGTGACGTGTGTTGTGAGGCTGAAATAAGAACCAGTGTCTTCCTATTTCTTTCGCGCATTTCGGAAACAGAGTTTAGCTATAGTGTAATAAATAACCAGCAGACGAATAAAAATCTCGAGCATATCCAACAAAAACACTGGATTATAAACAACATTTCTTCTGTATTCTCGTCAACCAAATCATGCATGTAACAGCAGATTTATGTAGCACAAGAGGGCCAGGAGCCACAAGGATTTGCCACTGGGTTTACAGAAAATCTGCAGCAGCATCCAGTATCATCCAGTATAGCAGCGTCCAGAAAGTACAGCAATGGTGAACGAAGTATGGCTATCATAGATGTTAACCCTCGCCCTGGCAGGGGGGGGGGGGGGTCGATGCGACCCCATCCCCCTAAGGTTTTTCAAAGATAGCGTAAAAACGGCGGTGCGCAGTGCCGCCAAATTTGGCACTGCCTATGGGGCAACCTTTTAACATATGACCTGAAAATTTCAGGTCCGGGTGACCTTGGGTCAGGTCACCAGGTCAGAACAACCGGTACAAGGTCATGGTCAAATTTCAATTTGTTTATGCACCTGTCCAACTCACAGTTTTGGACTGATGTCCTTCAAACTTTCAGGATGTACTAAGTTCACCGAGTTGTATAACATATTGTTCGTTTTTTTATGTCACTGACCTGAGGTGAGTTAGAGGTCATTACGTCGTAATGTTAAGCCTATGGGAAAATATTCAATTCGGAAAATACTGAAGATATCCGCTTCGTTCTATCACTTTTGTGCTTTGAAACCACAGTACGTAACATTATGTCACTTGGTGCTTCTTTGTTTGGTGTACTTATCCAAGGGTCAGGTCAAATGAGGTCAACTGAGGTCAAATGACGTTTGTGCCGATAACTTGTCACATAATAAGGATAAAGCTTTCAAAATGGTACCATTCTGTTCCTCTTGAACAGCCGAGTCGAATGATATGCAACATTAAGCATTTCGACCATTCTTAAGACTTAAGTTGTACTTAGGATGTGCTTAATATTTTAAGTA